CACTTTTGAACTCCCGGACTCGTCCTTGGTCTTTATCATGGTCAATAGTGTCATTTTGAAGAGGCATTTCCCCCTTAATTGGCTAACATTTCTATTCAACTCTTTTCTGCTTCTGTAAACATGCTTGTTGCAAGACCAGAGATCTCAAAATTGACTGAGAGTACCTATCCTCCCCTAAAGAGGTATTGCTTTAATGCTTGTTAGATATGATCTGTAACTGGCTGTAGCATCTTCAGAGGTCTGTACATCAGCCCATGCCAACTGTAACAACATGAGTATAAAAATAATATTGCCCCTAAGCACTAGCTCTTCTAAGACTGCCGATAAAAATAATATTGCCCCTAAGCACTAGCTCTTCTAGGACTGCCGGTGGCGTAATAAACCTGAGTTCTCCAAATCCTCCTGTTTGGTTTCTTGCTGGTCTGAGGTTTTGCAACTTTTCTGCAACAATTCGTCCTGGAGTGGGGCAAAGCCTTTCCACTTTTGCCATCCAGGGCCTTGGATCTGGCTTTGGGGGAATGGAGTTGTGAGACTGTGACAAAATGATGGGCAGGGAAAGGGACCGGGTTTCTTTGGTGTTCTGGGCTCTTGGTTCTATTTCCAGGAATGGCTGTATGACCTCGGGCAAGTAAGTCCCTTTCTGTCCTGAGCAGGAGTTTCTCATTCCCCAGGGCCGACTTCCACAGCTCCTCCCACCGCTCTCTGTCTCTCACAGCTTGTCTCTGAAACTCTGTCTGTGCCTCTCTTTGCTTCTGCTTCTCTAATCTCTTCCTCTCTCTGTCTTTTTGTCTCTGTGTGTCTGTCTGTCTCTCCCTCTGTGTCTCTCGGTCTTTGTTTCTCACTCTGTTTTGTCTCTAATTGTCTGTGCCCTTTCTCTTTCTCTCTGCTTCTCTCTTTCTCTGGAAGGCTTCCTCAGTCACTGTCTCCTCTGGACTCTCTGGGGGGGTCTCTCTCTGTCTCTCTGTCTCTCTAGTGGACAGGACTGTAGTCAGTCAGGGACTGAAGCGGGGTTGGGAGAAGGCTGGGGCAGGCGGAAGCCCCAGAAGAAAGTGTCAGATCTGAATGACCCTCCAACCTACCCCCACGCATTGCTCCCCACTGCTCCCCTAAGCCCTCTACCAGCTATATCTGTTGGTGGCCCCCAGCAACTGGCCTTAGTTATCAAACTCCTGGCCAGGTCAGAGGGCAGGTTGCCAAAACCTGGAGCTGGGCCAAGACCCGAGAGGCTGGGGCTAGTGTTGGGGAGAGAGCCCCTGAAGTCATGGGTCTGGGAGGCCCTTTGCCACGAACATTTTTGCCACAAGCATTTTTGCCGCAAACATTTTTGCCACATAAATAATTGGGCGGAAGGCAGTTTTGCCATAAAAAAATATAAAGTAACTGGTTGACAGTTTTCGTTTGGTTTGGTTTCATTTCTCCATTGATGAATCAACTGCCTTTGGCAGATTTAATGTATTTAAGTTAGCTGTCTGTCTGGTTTTATTTCCCCATTAACGAAGTTCTCGCTGTGACTCCTTTTTTATGTTACATATAAATCTTAGCTAGTCCTCATAGTGGTCTGTACAGTGACGAGCAGGTGTGGTGTTGCTGGTCTTAAAAATAGCCGTGAATCTACACGCATTTTAAATGTATTCAAACAGTTTGTATTTTACAATAAATTCTTATTAATTTTGTTATTGATTTCCTATGTTTCATTATGTCCTTATTAAGGTCTCTTTTTCTTTGTTGTGATTTTTATCTTTTTCTGGCAAGATTGCCTCGTAGACAATTAGTTATGCGGCAAAAATGTTTGTGACAAAAATGCTTGCGGCAAAGTACCTCGAACCATGTTTACAGTTCCCATGAGGGAGGAAGTGCTTGGAGGTCTTGGGGAATTTGACACCCCAGGTCCCAGGCACATGATACAATAGGGGTGGAGTCCCTTCTTGTTTAGTTGCAGGAAGGCCTGGTAGGGTAGGTTCTGGAAGAGAAGAGAAGGCTTGATTAAGGGATTACATAGCTCTGGTTTCCTTTGTCGTCTGCCCCTGCTCCTGGGGGAAGAGGCGGTACTGGGTCCACCTCAAACCTGTACTTTACTTTTTCTTGACCTTAGAACTGGGTCAAGATGAGCCTGATGGGACTGCCTCACTGGGGACCCTAAGATTTATGAGAAGGGGAGTTCTAAGTAGCTGAAGCTCTTCTTGTGGTCTGACTTGCTTCCCTGCTACAGAAGGAACTTGGGGTAGAGAAGGATGTGTGACAGGGCTTCTCAGCTTCTGCACTATTGGTGTTTGGGCTGGGTAGTTCTGTGTGTGTGTGTGTGTGTGTGTGTGTGTGTGCGCGCGCGCGCGTGTGGCGGGGGCTGTCCTGTGTGTGGTAGGATTTTTAGCAGTATCTTTGGTCTCTACCCACTAAATTCCAGTAGCTGCCTCCATCCCAGTTGTGAAAACCAAAAATGAGTCCAGACATAATTCAGTGTCCCTTTGGGGGCAAAGTCAACTCAGTTGGGAAGCATTGGTTTAATGGAAGAAACTGAAACACACCAACGCACCTGAATCCTCCTCACCTCTAATCGGTCTCTCCTAGACCCCCACCTTTTACGCTTTGTCTATCCACCTCAAACCTCCACCTCACTCTGTCGATGATCCCATTTCTTATCTCATGGAGAAAACAGTAGCAATCAGAAGAGAACTAGCTCCTTCTCCATTACCATGCTTGCCTGCCTGCCTGTGTCTGGGCCACATATGAAGGCTTCTTTCCTGTTATGCTGTCTTGGCTCTGACCTTCGGTCAGTCAGCTCCTCCATGGTGACAGGGCAATCCCATTTCTGTCACCAACTGTTGACTTTCTCTTTACTATGTCCTGTTTTTTTTGTGGATGTGTAGGTTAATTTTTTTCTAGTTCATAAGTTTTTGAGGAAAATTTACATATGATGAAATATACAAATTCTACACGAACATTTGTTGAGTTTCGAATGCATACACCACTGTAATCAAATCCTTATGAAGATATAGAACACATGCAATCTTTCTTAATGTGGAATCACTAATGTCGAGAATATCCTATTTACAAAATTAAATTTTTGTGTCAAAAACTGATCGTTAATGTATTTTTAACCTATAAAAAGTCAATTTATACAACAGGAAATATTTAAAAATGACAGCTAGTACAACATGCTTCTGAAAGATTCTGTTTGGAAAAAATTAGAGTCTTATGGGGCTAGATTATTTGATACCTGTTTATATCGTTTCCCCTTCAGCGTGTCATATAGAAGGAGTGTGGCTTTGCAGTGAGTAGATCTGGGTTCAAATCCTGATTCAATCACTTAAAAACTGTGACCTTGAGTGTGTTACTAAATGTCTTTGTACCTCAGTTTCTTCATGGGTAAAATGGAAATAATACCTTGCATACCAGTCCATAATTCAGCACCTGGCTCAAAATTGGTTTAAAAAGCCGACGAATGATGTCAGAAGTGTTTTTGGCACATGGCTGATATTTCATGACAGGTCTCCCACACACACATGCCTGGGAATTTTTGATTGGGTGACAGACATTGTGATTTTACTTCATCAGGTGCTAGATATTTTTCGTGTGTCTATAAATATTCTTGAGTTTTATTATGTGATACAGTTAAGTTACTTAGAAATCTGTGAACTTTTAATTTTGATATAATTTCAAACTTAATGAAAAGTTTCAAGACTAAGACA